ACACACAACAAAATAGATTCACCAGTTAACCTACACATTCATGTTTTTTGGTCTCTGGAAGAAAACCCAGAGAAAACCCACACATCCAAATGGACAGTATGCTAACTGTGCAGAAAGGCTGCAACTGGGATTTGGGCTGCAAATTGTGCCAAACCCTAATCCTGCACCACCATGTAGCCCTGGAAAAACTCAAACTCAGATATCGACCAATAGAATATTTATTGGTGGATTTGTTTTATTTAAACAACACTTTAACAAACCATTTTGTGGGATAGTGCTGAACATAAATGAGTTACTACAGCATCTAACATCTCTCTGGGACTACTAAAGTAATTTTATATTTGTAACTGAATGATTAAATAAATTCCATCCATTCTTTCGTCCATCTATTCTCTTCTGCTTTTGCGGAGTCAGGTTGCGGGGGTCCCAAGGGTGTAGAGCTCATCCAGCATTCCATGGCCAGGACAAAAACCACATTGCTCTTCCTGAATACAAGGATTGACTATCCTATGGACCCTCCTCTCCAAAACCACCAGGGAGGCTCAGGAGTGTGACCCCCCTGTAGCCGGAACACACCCTGTGGTCTCCCTTTTTACATAGGGGGACCACCACCCCAGTCTGCCAATCCAGTGGATCTGCCCCAATAACCATGCAAAATTGCACTGCCACGTCAACCAACACAGCCCTACAACATCCAGAGCATTAAGATAATCCAAGCAGATCTCATTCACCCCCGGGGCCTTGCCACCGAGGCGCTGTATGGCCACCTCAGAGACCTTGGCTCCAGAGAGCCCAACCCAAAGTCCCCAAACTCCGCTTCTTCACTGGAAGATGTGCTGGTGGGACTGAGAAGGTCTTTAGAGTTCTCCACCCTATGATCCATAATGTTCTGAGTCACGGTCAGCGACACACTGTCCACATTGTTAACAGTGTTGGTAGTGCACTGCTTTCCCCTCCTGACTTGCTGGATGGTGGGCCAGAATCTCCTTGAAGCTGTATGGAAGTCTTGTTCCATGGTCTCACCAAACTCCTCCCACACCTGAGTTTTTGCATCCGTGACCACCTGAGCTGCATTCCGCTTGGACTGCAGGTTTGCATCAGCAGCTAACCTTCTCTTCACCGAGTGTCCAAGGCATGCAATGGCAGAATTTAATGTCTGGAACTCCTATGCTCAGAGCAAAAAGGCACCAGCCGTAACAGGCACCAATATGGGGGGGTGGGGGTGGGGGGTGGGGGGGTGGGGGCAAAAAGTATACCCACCCCTGCTCGATGCTTCTCAAATGGAGCAACTCCAGAATGGTAGAAAATCCAACCCTTCTGGAGGAAACTGGGCTCCATGGTGAAAGAACAGCAATCAGATGCTTGCCAACATGCCGCAACTCCAGGTCTGGCTCCAGAGGGGGACCCCGGTGACCCATGTCCGGATGAGTGAACACTGTTTCCACAATTAAATTAAAAGACCATATAAATTATTTAGTGTAACTACCTCCAATTTAATGTTAAGTCAAACTGAAGCGTCTTATTGTCATGATCCTGTAGGTTGGTCTCCTCTTCAGCTGCAGACACAATAGTCTTTGGTGGGTATGGCTACCTCCTGATCAAGGTATTAAATGACATTCGTCTCAACACTGATTCGGGTAAAGCATCTGTCCTGATGATACTTGACCTCAGTGCAGCTTTTGATACTGTGGACCATAACATACTTCTGGACAGACTCACAAACTGGGTGGGACTATCAGGCACAGTGCTATCAAAGACAGGGGCTATGTTGTCTCTGTTAGGGATTACCAATCAAAGCAGATCATCATGAAAGTTGGGGTCCCCCCAAGGCTCAATTCTAAAACCACAACTAATCTATATATGCTTCCCCTGCATGGGTCAGGTCATATTTAATAACAACATCACCTATCATAGCTATGCTGATGACACCCAGATCTACTTAGCCTTATCACCTAGTGACTGAAGTCCACTGGACTCCCTCTGTCAGTGCCTAGAACAAGTACAATGACTGGATGCAGTCAAACTTTCTTCAGCTAGACAAAGACAAGACTGAAGTTGTTGTCTTTGGCAGCAAGAAGGATAGAATGGATGTAATTGATCAGCTGGACTCCAGGGGAATAAAGACAAAATTCCAGGTTAGGAATCTTGGTGTCATTGACTCCGACCTGAGCTTCTCTGGACATATTAAGGCTATAACTAAATCAGCGTTTTATCACCTTCATCAAATATCAAGAGTCAGAGGTCTCATGTCCAGACCAGACTTAGAAAAAAACATTCATGCTTTTATTTCTAGTCGGCTGGACTATTGCAGTGGTGTCCTAACTGGTCTTTCCAAAAGCTGTGAAGCAACTGCTTGTTCATAATGCTGCTGTCTTAACAAGAACAAAGAGAAGGGAGCACATCACTCCTGTTCTTAGATCCCTACACTGGTTACCAGTAAACTACAGCATATACTTCAAAGTGCTCCTACTATTTTATAAATCAATGGCATGGGACCAAAAATATGTCAGATCTCATTTCTGTATATACACCCAATAGGGCTTTGAGATTCCTTGGAAACAATCAGCTGGTAGAACCTCGGGTCTGAACAAAACATGGTGGAGATGCAATTAGTTACTATGCTGCTCACATATGGAATCAGCTTCCCCATGACCTCAGATCTGCCCCAACCCTCGTGTTGTTTGAAACAAAACTAAAAACCCTTATGTACTCATCAGCATTTTAAAAGTATTGTTTCTTATCATGCGTCATCTCCACTGTAATCTGCGCTTTAACTTCGTCTTCTCCTTTAGCTCTAAACTATCATTGTATTTTAATTTTTGTTTTATGTTGTTTTCATATCATGTCCTGATAATTGTAAAGCACATTGAATTGTTTGAAATGTGCTCTATAAATAAAGCTGCCTTGCCTTTAATCCTGACACTAAATACACCTGCTTAACCCTGTTTCACACACAATGCGGTATGGAGACAGTCCGGAAATTAGAAATTAGAAATCTGACACAAAATGTTTAAAAATATACCTGCAAAAATAATATTTCACTGTGAACTGATATTCCTGAAAAAAAAAAAAAAAAAAAGGCAACACCGGTTTTATTTTGACATACACTGAACGCTCCTCACTGAAACACGTCTCACTTCCTGTCTGGTTCATGACCATTTATATGTGATGTCTAGAAAGGATGGATCCCATTGGGAAACCTTCCAGAGCTCCGCATCAATATCCGTACCGCGCTGCAGCCGGTGAGAATGGATTCAAATTGAATTTGATTATTTTTGTTCATGTGGAAGCTGTATGGAAACTAGGCTGTGTCTGTTCCATATTCAGTGTGAATGAGGCTTTAGGCTCAGCTGCTGATTTGCTGATCCTTTTCACAGTGATCTCTGATAAGACAAATAACTCTTGTAATCCTGTTCTTTCCCCATCCCAGTTCATAGACTCTTTCAGCTCCCAAATTTTGAATTGTCAGAAGGAGCACCTGAATCTAACCACCAGGTCCTCCACCAATCACTCCTCTCCATGTCTTCATCAGTTAACTGAAGATGCCAATCTCCCAATGTTGGGCACATCTGTCTATAGTAACCTTACTAGATATGTCCACATGTAACTCTGATGAAGACACACTGAGTGTTGAAATTTTCTTTTTTAGTTGCATCTAAGTAGTTTTTGAACTCTCAACACACTATCCCATAGATTTTTCTGGCACTCTAACCTATTCCTTGGATTTGCGTAATGCAGTCTTCCACAATTGTTTAAACACAATTTCTTGTACGTCTGACACAATGACTACAACGTGTAACTGATGCGCCAACTCCCAGGCTAAAGACCAGGCTAAAGACCAAAGGTGACAGATCATTTGCTGCTGTGGCCCCCAGACTCTGGAACTCTCTCCCCTTGAGCCTGAGATCAGTGGACTCAGTGGTCTCCTTTAAAAAGCAGCTGAAGACTCACTTGTTCAAGCTGGCTTTTGTATGACCTTCTTCAACCCCTCTCTCTTTATTCTACTCTCCCCACCTATTCCACCTTCCTCAGCATCCACTGATTTCCCTCTTTCCTATTCACTCTCACTCTTTCTTAACATTTTTTAATCACAAGTGTCTATTTTTGCTCATTTTAAATATATTTTTAAACATTTTGTAAATGCTTTTTTATATTTTTACATTTTTTGTTTTTGTGAAGCGCCTCATGATTTTTATCTTGAGAGGTGCTATAGAAAATATATTTTCTTCTTCTTCTACTTACTTCTTCTCTCCTGATGGTCCAGGCAGCGGTTCAGATCCGGTTCCGACCCAGAAACCAGCTGGCCTGCTGAGCCGCGCGTCTCTTCTGGTGGTTGGCTCAGATCCGGTTCCGACCCAGAAACCAGCTGGCCTGCTGAGCCACCCTTCTCTTCTGGTGGCCGGTTCTGACCTGGTTCTGAACTGAGTTCCAGAAATCCACACTTAATTTTTTAAACCCTGCCACAGGTCTCCAGCGCGGACCTCCCTGACCCGGTACCGACCAATGTGGGCTACAGAAGTCCGTCAGCTGCACAAAACGCCCTCAGGCACGGAGATGGAGGCATTGTTTCTCTTATCTGGAAATCCGTGGACTCGGTGTCCAGACAGGCTGGAGTTGGTGCAGCCTTCACAAACTGTAGTTTATCAAAATGAAAACAATCCAAAACTATTAAACACACACACTGACTGGATAACATGACCTCTCTACCCTAAAACTACCCACTCTCCACACTGAGCTGAGGCAGCGCCTAGCTTCTAACTCCCTTTGGTTATGTCAGAGTTTCAGATTTAGAAAAAAAAGAGCCTTTTTAGAAGCTTTGCTGAGAAAGGCCACTTTTTACTAGAAACGCTCTTCTGTTGTGTATTTTAAAACCAAATATCCACAATAAGCATTTCAAATAGTCTTTTTTGGACAGCATTTTATATAAATTAGAAAACAAATTAAACTGCCATTTGCTCTTTAACTGCAGAAGCACTTGGACCCGGACTGAGAGTCATCCCTGATAAAATAACAAAATAAGTTTATTTCCCGTGGAACAAAAACAGCCATGTGCTAAAATGAACAAACTCTGCTTTAAATCGATCTCTGTTGTCTCCACATTGCTGCACGCCTCCCGTTTGTGTTGTTCGACTTTTGTCTCCCTGCCCGTCCATCATACCACAAATTTAATAGTCAACAGCACAACAACAGCTGCATAATAGCTCTGACATGGTATGGCACTCTGACCTGCTTCAAATTGTGCATTTCCAACATATTTAAAAAAATAAACTTTGTACCACAACCCTAAACATCAGATTTTATTTAACTGATTATCTAATTATTACCACATAGCTGGAGACCCAGATGTGCTCACAGTTGATATATTGAAAATAAACATTTACTTTCATGAGGGATATATGGGTATAAATGAACCAATATTAATCTTTGATCCTTCAGTTCATGAGGTCCCGATTCCAGCCAGCAGAGCCACCAGAAAGCACAGGTTACCAAGGAAGTATATAACCACCAGAACAACATCCACTTGGACCTGTCGGATAAAACATATTCAGTCACATGTTTTCATGGAATTGTGTTTGTTGCTGGTTGATCTTCTTTTTATAACTTTATTGCGTCTTACCCCTTCTGAATTCAGCATCGCAGCAGCAGGATCTGTAATCAAAAACAGAGCAGAGTCCAGATGACGGGTACAAAAAAAATCTAGAACTATGTACAGTCGGGGGTGGGGTGGGGGGGGTTGGGGGGGGGGGGGCTTCTGCGGCGTGGCGTGCCACTTCCGGGACGCACTTGAAAGTTGCCGCGTGTCACGGCTGGTTTGAAACACTCCATACAGTATTATGGATTCTATTTGAAGCAGCGACGTTCCGTTGCCATTCAGCACTGCTGATGCATTTAGTGTGAAACCGGGGTTACGGTAAAGGGTCAATAGACTACTTCTTCAGCTGGGCTAATTAAGGCTTGTTGATTAGACTGTGCACTGCTGCCACCTAGTGACTAGAGACTGGCAGGCTGCTATGCATGAAAAAAGATGCCAAACAATAATGGAACTTCCTGCCTTTCAAACACCCCTTGACAACCCCCACCCCCAGGTGGGCATGTGACTGTCCTCAAAGTGGGTGAAGAATATGACCAGCTGGTCACCATCAGTTGAGAAGCTGCTGAGTATTTGATTGATCTGCTGGATCCTCTAGAACACCTGCTTGGAATGGTTGCTTTGGAAGCAGTCTTTTATCTTCCTGTAGATGATTTTAGTTTTTACAGAGGCCTCTCTTTAAATTATCTCTGGCAACACTATAAAGTGATTTTTCACATGCACGATAAGCAATCTTCCTCTTGAGTAACTTCTGCACTTTAATGTCATCCAGGTCACATTTGAGGCATCAATATACAAAAACAATGCAGAACATGACGGAGCCCAGAACAGCTATGGTGAACTGTTCTAGGCTTCTATGTTTGATGATGTTGCCTTAAAGCCATCCTGCAGGTTTTGGGAGGAATCTTTTGGGCAAGGTCAGGAGTTCTAGTTGTGGTACGGTAGAAACCATTTTCCTGGGAGGGCATGTATGTTGGCATCACAAATAGGGGCAAATAGACTGACTGGCCCAGGTGTGTTTAGAAGCCCTGATTTAGAGTCAGCATGATTAAAATCTTCTACAGCAATGTCAACAACCTAAGGATACACACACCGTTAACGATGTAACACTCCAGGGGCTGGGTTAGAATTTACGCAACAGTTACCATGACAGCAATGAACACTGAAGAAGGCGAGTGGGCCTGTGTTCAAAAGATCTGGAGAGCAGATACTGCTCACTCTTAGTGTTAGTACACTAGCTGTTGGACATAAACTCATAACCCTCCACCTCTGGTCTTACCATGGTTCCTTGTTCTGTGGCCTGTTAGCTCCATGGCTGTGTCTGGCATGGATGATTGCAGCCTGGACTCTGTGAAAAGCAGAATACACATGCCTTTGTTAGAATAGAGATATATTTGGCCTTCCATGGTGATGACATATGCCTCTGTTACGCTAGTGATACACTCAGCCTTTGCTTCCATGGTGATGACAAACACCTCTGTTACAATAGTGATGTCTCCAGCCTTTGTTACCATGGTGATTACACATGCCTCTGTTAGAATGAAGATGCCTTTGGCCTTTGTTACCATGGGGATGACAAACACCTCTGTTACAATGTTGACAACTTCAGCATCCTTCTAACTTCAGTCTATTAAAAAAAACACTTCTTTGTTACAGTAGTGACGTCTCCAGCCTTTGTTACCATGGTGATGACAGATGCCTCTGTTAGAATAGTGATATATTTGGCCTTTGTTACCATGGTGATGACATATGCCTCTGTTACACTAGTGATATCTTCAGCCTTTGTTTCCATGGTGATGACACATGCCTCTGTTACAATAGTGATATCTTCGGCCTTTGTTTCCATGGTTATGACATATTTCGCTGTTACAATAGTGATGTCTCCAGCCTTTGTTACCAAGGTGATGACACATGCCTATGTTACCGTAGTGACGTCTCCAGCCTTTGTTACCATGGTGATTACACATGTCTCAGTTACAGTAGTAACGTCTCCATCCTTTGTTTCCATGGTGATTACACATGCCTATGTTACAGTAAATACATCTCCAGCCTTTGTTACCATGGTGATTACACATGCCTCTGTTAGAATAGTGATATATTTGGCCTTTGTTACCATGGTGATGACATATGCCTCTATTACATTAAATATGTCTCCAGCCTTTGTTACCATGGTGATTACACATGCCTCTGTTAGAACAGCGATGTCTTTAGCCTTTGTTACCATGGGGATGACAAACACCTCTGTTACAATGTTGATAACTTCAGCATCCTTCTAACTTCAGTCTAAAAAAACGCTTCTTTGTTACAGTAGTGATGTCTCCAGCTTTTGTTACCATGGTGATGACATATTCCTCTCTTACAATAGTGATATCTTCAGCCTTTGTTACCATGGTGATGCACATGCCTCAGTTACAATACTGATGTCTCCAGCCTTTGTTACCATGGTGATTACACATGCCTATGTTAGAATAGTGAAATATTTGGCCTTTGTTACCATGGTGATGACATATGCCTCTGTTACACTAGTGATATATTCAGCCTTTGTTATCATGGTGATGACACATGCCTCTGTTACAATAGTGATGTCTTCAGCCTTTGTTACCATGTTGATGACACATGCCTCTGTTACAATAGGGATGTCTCCAGCCTTTGTTACCATGGTGATGACACATGCCTATGTTACAGTCATGATGTCTCCAGCCTTTGTTACCATGTTGATAACACATGCCTCTGTTACAATAGTGATATCTTCAGCCTTTGTTACCATGGTATTTACAAATGCCTCTGTTACAATAGTAATATCTTCAGCCTTTGTTACCATGTTGATGACACATGCCTCTGTTACAATAGAGATGCCTCCAGCCTTTGTTACCAGGTGATGACATATGCCTCTGTTACAATAGTGATATCTTCAGCCTTTGTTACCATGTTGATAACACATGCCTATGTTACAGTAGAGACGTCTCCAGCATTTGTTACCATGGTATTTACACATGCCTCTGTTACAATAGTGATATCTTCAGCCTTTGTTACCAGGTGATGACACATGCCTATGTTACAGTAGTGACGTCTCCAGCCTTTGTTACCATGGTAATTAAACGTGCCTCATATCTTCAGCCTTTGTTACCATGGTGATGACACATGCCTCTGTTACAATAGTGATGTATCCAGCCTTTGTTACCATGGTGATTACACATGCCTCTGTTACACTAGTGATATATTTGGCCTTTGTTACCATGGTGATGACAAATGCCTCTGTTACAGTAGTGATGTCTCCAGCCGTTGTTAAAATGGTGATGACACATGCCTTTGTTACAGTAGTGACATCTCCAGCCTTTGTTACCATGGTGATTACACATGACTGTTGGAATAGTGATATATTTGGCCTTTGTTACCATGGTGATGACATATGCCTCTGTTACAATAGTGATATATTCAGCCTTTCTTACCATGTTGATGACACATGCCTCTGTTACAATAGGGATGTCTCCAGCCTTTGTTACCATGGTGATGACACATGCCTATGTTACAGTCAAGACGTCTCCAGCCTTTGTTACCATGTTGATAACACATGCCTCTGTTACAATAGTGATATCTTCAGCCTTTGTTACCATGGTATTTACACATGCCTCTGTTACAATAGTGATATCTTCAGCCTTTGTTACCAGGTGATGACACATGCCTCTGTTACAATAGTGATGTCTCCAGCCTTTGTTACCATGGTGATGACACATGCCTGTGTTACAGTAGTGACGTCTCCAGCCTTTGTTACCATGGTAATTAAACGTGCCTCATATCTTCAGCCTTTGTTACCATGGTGATGACACATGCCTCTGTTACAATTGTGATGTCTCCAGCTTTTGTTACCATGGTGATGACACGTGCCTGTGTTACAGAAGTGATGTCTCCAGCCTTTGTTACCATGGTGATTACACATGCCTCTGTTACACTAGTGATATATTTGGCCTTTGCTACCATGGTGATGACACATGCCTCTGTTACAGTATTGATGTCTCCAGCCGTTGTTACCATGGTGATGACACATGCCTATGTTACAGTAGTGACATCTCCAGCCTTTGTTACCATGGTGATTACACATGACTGTTGGGATAGTGATATATTTGGCCTTTGTTACCATGGTGATGACATATGCCTCTGTTACAATAGTGATATCTTCAGCCTTTCTTACCATGTTGATGACACATGCCTCTGTTACAATAGGGATGTCTCCAGCCTTTGTTACCATGGTGATGACACATGCCTATGTTACAGTCATGACGTCTCCAGCCTTTGTTACCATGTTGATAACACATGCCTCTGTTACACTAGTGATATCTTCAGCCTTTGTTTCCATGGTGATGACACATGCCTCTGTTGCAATAGTGATATCTTCAGCCTTTGTTACCATGGTGATGACACATGCCTCTGTTACAATAGTGATATCTTCGGCCTTTGTTTCCATGGTTATGACATATTTCGCTGTTACAATAGTGATGTCTCCAGCCTTTGTTACCAAGGTGATGACACATGCCTATGTTACCGTAGTGACGTCTCCAGCCTTTGTTACCATGGTGATTACACATGTCTGTTACAGTAGTAACATCTCCATCCTTTGTTTCCATGGTGATTACACATGCCTATGTTACAGTAAATACATCTCCAGCCTTTGTTACCATGGTGATTACACATGCCTCTGTTAGAATAGTGATATATTTGGCCTTTGTTACCATGGTGATGACATATGCCTCTATTACATTAGTGATGTCTCCAGCCTTTGTTACCATGGTGATTACACATGCCTCTGTTAGAACAGCGATGTCTTTGGCCTTTGTTACCATGGGGATGACAAACACCTCTGTTACAATGTTGATAACTTCAACATCCTTCTAACTTCAGTCTAAAAAAACGCTTCTTTGTTACAGTAGTGATGTCTCCAGCTTTTGTTACCATGGTGATGACATATTCCTCTCTTACAATAGTGATATCTTCAGCCTTTGTTACCATGGTGATGCACATGCCTCAGTTACAGTAGTAACGACTCCATCCTTTGTTTCCATGGTGATTACACATGCCTATGTTACAGTAAATACATCTCCAGCCTTTGTTACCATGGTGATTACACATGCCTCTGTTAGAATAGTGATATATTTGGCCTTTGTTACCATGGTGATGACATATGCCTCTATTACATTAGTGATGTCTCCAGCCTCTGTTACCATGGTGATTACACATGCCTATGTTAGAATAGTGAAATATTTGGCCTTTGTTACCATGGTGATGACATATGCCTCTGTTACACTAGTGATATATTCAGCCTTTGTTATCATGGTGATGACACATGCCTCTGTTACAATAGTGATGTCTTCAGCCTTTGTTACCATGTTGATGACACATGCCTCCGTTACAATAGGGATGTCTCCAGCCTTTGTTACCATGGTGATGACACATGCCTATGCTACAGTCATGATGTCTCCAGCCTTTGTTACCATGTTGATAACACATGCCTCTGTTACAATAGTGATATCTTCAGCCTTTGTTACCATGGTATTTACACATGCCTCTGTTACAATAGTGATATCTTCAGCCTTTGTTACCATGGTGATGACATATGCCTCTATTACATTAGTGATGTCTCCAGCCTTTGTTACCATGGTGATTACACATGCCTCTGTTAGAACCGCGATGTCTTTGGCCTTTGTTACCATGGGGATGACAAACACCTCTGTTACAATGTTGACAACTTCAGCATCCTTCTAACTTCAGTCTAAAAAAATGCTTCTTTGTTACAGTAGTGATGTCTCCAGCTTTTGTTACCATGGTGATGACATATTCCTCTCTTACAATAGTGATATATTCAGCCTTTGTTACCATGGTGATGCACATGCCTCAGTTACAATACTGATGTCTCCAGCCTTTGTTACCATGATGATTACACATGCCAATGTTAGAATAGTGAAATATTTGGCCTTTGTTACCATGGTGATGACATATGCCTCTGTTACACTAGTGATATATTCAGCCTTTGTTATCATGGTGATGACACATGCCTCTGTTACAATAGTGATGTCTTCATTCTTTGTTACCATGGTGATTACACATGCCTCTGTTAGAATAGTGATATATTTGGCCTTTGTTACCATGGTGATGACATATGCCTCTATTACATTAGTGATGTCTCCAGCCTTTGTTACCATGGTGATTACACATGCCTATGTTAGAATAGTGAAATATTTGGCCTTTGTTACCATGGTGATGACATATGCCTCTGTTACACTAGTGATATATTCAGCCTTTGTTATCATGGTGATGACACATGCCTCTGTTACAATAGTGATGTCTTCAGCCTTTGTTACCATGTTGATGACACATGCCTCCGTTACAATAGGGATGTCTCCAGCCTTTGTTACCATGGTGATGACACATGCCTCTGTTACAATAGTGATATCTTCAGCCTTTGTTACCAGGTGATGACACATGCCTATGTTACAGTAGTGACGTCTCCAGCATTTGTTACCATGGTATTTACACATGCCTCTGTTACAATAGTGATATCTTCAGCCTTTGTTACCAGGTGATGACACATGCCTATGTTACAGTAGTGACGTTTCCAGCCTTTGTTACCATGATAATTAAACGTGCCTCATATCTTCAGCCTTTGTTACCATGGTGATGACACATGCCTCTGTTACAATAGTGATGTCTCCAGCCTTTGTTACCATGGTGATGACACATGCCTGTGTTACAGAAGTAATGTCTCCAGCCTTTGTTATCATGGTGATTACACATGCCTCTGTTACACTAGTGATATATTTGGCCTTTGTTACAATGGTGATGACACATGCCTCTGTTACAGTAGTGATGTCTCCAGCCGTTGTTACCATGGTGATGACACATGCCTTTGTTACAGTAGTGACATCTCCAGCCTTTGTTACCATGGTGATTACACATGACTGTTGGAATAGTGATATATTTGGCCTTTGTTACCATGGTGATGACATATGCCTCTATTACAATAGTGATATATTCAGTCTTTCTTACCATGTTGATGACACATGCCTCTGTTACAATAGGGATGTCTCCAGCCTTTGTTACCATGGTGATGACACATGCCTATGTTACAGTCATGACGTCTCCAGCCTTTGTTACCATGTTGATAACACATGCCTCTGTTACAATAGTGATATCTTCAGCCTTTGTTACCATGGTATTTACACATGCCTCTGTTACAATAGTGATATCTTCAGCCTTTGTTACCATGTTGATGACACATGCCTCTGTTACAATAGGGATGTCTCCAGCCTTTGTTACCAGGTGATGACACATGCCTCTGTTACAATAGTGATGTCTCCAGCCTTTGTTACCATGGTGATGACACATGCCTGTGTTACAGTAGTGACGTCTCCAGCCTTTGTTACCATGGTAATTAAACGTGCCTCATATCTTCAGCCTTTGTTACCATGGTGATGACACATGCCTCTGTTACAATAGTGATGTCTCCAGCCTTTGTTACCATGGTGATGACACATGCCTGTGTTACAGAAGTGATGTCTCCAGCCTTTGTTACCATGGTGATTACACATGCCTCTGTTACACTAGTGATATATTTGGCCTTTGTTACCATGGTGATGACACATGCCTCTGTTACAGTAGTGATGTCTCCAGCCATTGTTACCATGGTGATGACACATGCCTATGTTACAGTAGTGACATCTCCAGCCTTTGTTACCATGGTGATTACACATGACTGTTGGAATAGTGATATATTTGGCCTTTGTTACCATGGTGATGACATATGCCTCTGTTACAATAGTGATATCTTCAGCCTTTCTTACCATGTTGATGACACATGCCTCTGTTACAATAGGGATGTCTCCAGCCTTTGTTACCATGGTGATGACACATGCCTATGTTACAGTCATGACGTCTCCAGCCTTTGTTACCATGTTGATAACACATGCCTCTGTTACAATAGTGATATCTTCAGCCTTTGTTACCATGGTATTTACACATGCCTCTGTTACAATAGTGATATCTTCAGCCTTTGTTACCATGTTGATGACACATGCCTCTGTTACAATAGGGATGTCTCCAGCCTTTGTTACCAGGTGATGACACATGCCTCTGTTACAATAGTGATATCTTCAGCCTTTGTTACCAGGTGATGACACATGCCTGCGTTATCGAAGTGATGTCTCCAGCCTTTGTTACCATGGTGATTACACATGCCTCTGTTACACTAGTGATATATTTGGCCTTTGTTACCATGGTGATGACTCATGCCTCTGTTACAGTAGTGATGTCTCCAGTCGTTGTTACCATGGTGATGACACATGCCTATGTTACAGTAGTGACATCTCCAGCCTTTGTTACCATGGTGATTACACATGACTGTTGGAATAGTGATATACTTGGCTTTGTTACCATGGTGATGACATATGCCTCTGTTACAATAGTGATATCTTCAGCCTTTCTTACCATGGTGATGACACATGCCTCTGTTACAATAGTGATATCTTCGTACTTTGTTTCCATGGTGATTACTCATTCCTCTGTTTCAATACTGATGTCTCCAGCCTTAGTTACCATGGTGATGACACATTCCTCTGTTACAATAGTGATGTCTCCAGCCTTTGTTACCATGGTGATGACACATGCCTATGTTACAGTAGTGACATCTCCAGCCTTTGTTACCATGGTGATTACACATGACTGTTGGAATAGTGATATATTTGGCCTTTGTTACCATGGTGATGACATATGCCTCTGTTACAATAGTGATATCTTCAGCCTTTCTTACCATGGTGATGACACATGCCTCTGTTACAATAGTGATATCTTCAGACTTTGTTTCCATGGTGATTACTCATTCCTCTGTTTCAATAGTGATGTCTCCAGCCTTAGTTACCTTGGTGGTGACACATTCCTCTGTTACAATAGTGATGTATCCAGCCTTTGTTACCATGGTGATGACACATGCCTATGTTACAGTAGTGACATCTCCAGCCTTTGTTACCATGGTGATTACACATGTCTCTGTTGGAATAGTGATATTTTTGGCCTTTGTTACCATGGTGATGACATATGCCTCTGTTACAGTAGTGATATATTCAGCTTCTGTTACCATGATGATTACACATGCCTCTGTTACAATAGTGATATCTTGGGGCCTTTGTTTCCATGGTGATGACATACAATGTCACAGCTTCAGCTTCTGTTGCCAAAGTTATGAATTCAGTCTTTTTTACTCTGGAGATGATGTCAGCCTCTTTTATAATGCTCTTTTATAATGCTGACAAGTTCTTTTGCCATTTTTACGAGTTCACACATCATTTTCTTGCAGGTCATCCTAACTGGCAAAGCTCCGGCTTCAATGCACAGACCTTAATTTGTTTGAGAGACATCTTTGCATGCAGTTGGTGTTTTAGCTTCTATCACTTGCACAACCTATTCATTCAAAAAACACCAATGTCAAGAGTGTGAGCCTTAATGAGCTGACTCAACAAACTCATTATAATATGTTTACTCTCAACAGTAAGTCTTTACCTGTTTCATGCTTCCATCTAATGAAGACCTCCAACATTGTGTAGAACAAAAGTTCCCAGGCAACAAAGCCACCCATCAGTTTCACCATCCACTGGCTTGTAGTGGTGTCAACTATCTGCAGGCCTGTAAATATGGCTGCCACTGTGTGGTTCCAGTCAAAAGGAGACATTTAAAATTTTACTGTTAGAGGATGTTTGTTATTTACATGTCTCTAAAAGAATAATAAAAACTAGAACTTACCAGCCAAACCTTTCACTGCCATTGCAATGAAAGAATGCGCAACATTGAATAGAAACCTCCTGTATCACACAGTTTAAAAAAACACAATTATTAACTCATTCACTGCCATTAACGACTAAAGTCATCATTTTAGATCCAACCGTTCACTGCCAGTGACGACTAAAGTCGTCATTTGCATTTTTTTTACTGTTTGAGCATCGGAACGAGCCCCCGCGCTGAGAGAACAAACATCTCAGCCCTGAAGCCGATCTTCATCCGCATACGTCACAGATCACATGATCAGGAAGCACCACATCCATGTGTTAGGAGATCGTTTTGGGTCGTTCCTGTAAAGAAAGTGAGGCGCGAACCGGAAAAGCGTCTGCCGATCACAATTCGACAACAGATTATGAAAGAACGGATAACGCTCGAAACACGCGGACTCTTCCTGATGTAAGAGGTGAGTCTCCTCTTTGTTTTGGTTGTTTTGGCATCGACATCATGCTAGCGTGCAACGTTCTGTGACTCTTAAAAAAAACTGTAAAAACGGTGAGAAACGCTGGCAGCGAAGGCCGTTAGTGATCAGGAAACGGCTGGCAGTGAATGAGTTAACAAGAACATATTTTATAGAACTTATCAACCTGTACTTTGCAAGTCATTTGTGTCAGTTAAAAGAAATAAAGGAAACATTTTTGTCAATATTTGTTTAAAATGTCTCAGTAAAACTTTGAGCTCACCTGTTTCAAACCTGATATACAAACAATACAGGACAGATTTTTGGTAAGAAGTTCCCATTTCGTTGAACTGGGAAAGAAATGTAGCCTAAAGCTCTTTTATTTTCTTGACTTCTACTACTTATCTGAGTCACATGGTCACTTTCTTGAGCTTGAGGTGTTCCCAGGCCAGCCTAGAGATATAATTCCTCGGTTGACCCCAGGGTCTCTTCCCAGTCAAGCATGCCTGAAACCCCTGCCCCCTGTAGATATCTAGGTGGCATCCTGAACACATGCCTGAACCAACTCTGCTGGTTCCTCTCATGGTGAAGGAGAAGCAGCTCAACTCAGTCTAATGGATGTTTCAAGCTTCTTACCCCACTCAGGGTCTCCAACAGGTAATGGTTGGAATGAAGATTGACTATTTAATAAAGAACCAGCCAAGTTCCATGTTTACTATAATGGACCAGTTTTGCCCATGCAGACACTGCCCCAATCTACCTGGTGATCATGAACAAGACCCCAAGACATTTGAACTCCACTACTTGAAGCAGGATCTCTCCTTCACCCAGAGTGTACAAACCACCCTTTTCTGGTGGAGAACCATGGTCTGAGAGACAAGGACTGAACAGCCTTTAAGGCCACCCACCCAACACTTCCTGAATGCCCCCCACAGGGTGTTTCTGAAGATATGGTATTGAACCTTTTCGTCCCTTTCACGTCTCATCATTGTGATCTGGTTTACGACACCAACTGTCTGCCATCTATAATCCAGTTTTGAGATCCCTTCCCAGATGCCTCAACGCCCATGCATATCCTGGGCCATCTGACTTCAGGAATTCACATGAAAGGGTGGGGCCAGGCTTCACAATGAGCTCACCCAAAACTCTGGCTGAATAGGACCCACTGAAACCGCAAATGAACTGCTGAGTCCTGTCCCGTGGAGGTGGCTCTTCTATGTTGTGCCACTTCGCAAGCGCATGGCACAACATAGAAGAGCCACCTCCACGGGACAGGACTCAGCAGTTCATTTGCATCTAAAGGACAAAGGTCACTCTTTCGAGGATGCCAACATTCACATTTTGGACAGAGAGGACAGATGGTTTGATAGAGGAGTAAAGGAAGCCATTTGTGTCCACTGTGAGCAACCATCTTTGAACAGAGGCGGTGGTTTATGACACCAACTGTCTGCCATCTATAATCCAGTTTTGAGATCCCTTCCCCGATGCCTCAACGCCCACGCATATCCTGGGCCATCTGACCTCAGGAATTCACATGATAGGGTGGGGCCAGGCTTCACAATGAGCTCACCCGAAACTCTGGCTGAATAGGACCCACACCCACCCTCACACCTTGGCTCATGTGTTTATGTAGAAGATCATCAGGGGTCTTTTGTTCCCTCTTCGGGGGGAAACTCCCACTGGGTTTGAATCTGGGACTCTCCACCATTTGACCTTAGAACTGAAGAAGCCTCTCGGATGAGAGGTGACACGTCTTCAAGCAACTGAAAGAAGTCCAGACGCTTTTCTTTCGAAGCTCATTAGACTAAAGACTGTTTTATGTCTGTTTTGATTGCTTGTACATATTGTAAATGAGAACAGTGTCTTTATGTCTAAATGTTTTATCTGTTTTTCTTTGATGTAAAGCTACCTATATGTCTGTTGCTGCTGCCTATGGCCAGATTGTCGTTAGAAATGAGAATGAGTTCTCAATGACTCATCTGGATAAATAAAGGTTAAATAAAACCTTCTCCAGGTTCACAATGCGCAAACTCCTTGGCTTCAATAAGCTGGATCAAGGTTCAACCTCAAGAATGAAATCCACTGTGCTTCTTCTCAGTCTTGCTTTCTACAGATAGTATCTACTACCTACTATAGATGTTGTGAGAGGCTGAATTTGACTTCCAATGTAAAGTACTGAGTGGTCAGAATGACCAGCCCAGTTTAACTGCAGTTTACATTGATTAGAAAATTGTCCGGAGTGTAGACACCCCCTCAATTGACTAGATAAATAGAAACCATATCCCCCGCCATCCTGCACCTACACTAGTTTACACTTGTTCAGAAAATGGGCACATAGTCAAAGATGATTAGAAACTCTCATGGCTAGATGAAATTTGGGGAAACCTACTGTGGATGCTGTGGTGCACAGCGCATTAGAGCCAGTAGAGGCTGGATCAGTGAGAAGATCATGACCAGACATCCCAACACAGAATGGACTCCCTGCAAAACACAACAAAGACAGCTTTATTCTTCTGAAAACATTTACTTCTCGGTTTGACCAGTTTAGAATGAAAAGCGCAAAGTACCAAGCTTTTATAATGTAGTGGGTCACTACCAGTGTTTCTGTTTACAAAAAACAGGCAAAATCAACTCAACTAAATTTGTTCAAGGACCGGAGCAGACACAGATAGGGCCAGGTGTTCTTTAAAAATAAAGGTCAAGTATTGTTGTATCTTAATTTATTAACATTTAAAATGGCTTTGATTTCCATGTAAACTGTTATGATTGTAGTTTCAGTTATGTTTGGAGAACCTAAACAATTGTTCATGTATAAGACATGAATTTTGCTGCTAAACTTCAAAATCTCCCAATTGGGTGGCATTAGGGCCCAAAGGGCTGGGGGCCAGATGGGAAGGTCTGATGAGCTAGATTTGACTCGTGGGCCACCAATGTACTGACCTCAGCCCAGCCCATGTTGTATACGAAGGTCAGAATGAACGCAATGATGGTGGCTGAAACAGTGACAATCATTAATGTCACATGGACCTTGAGGGACACACAGAAACAACACATTAAATGCTTAACATGTGTGCCTGGTAGCATGACTTCACCTGTTGGTTTGTTTTATGACAAACAGAAGAATGAATGTTCTCTGAACTCACCACAAACCAAATGTCCTTCCCACAGAGGTTCACTCCTTTAGCCATTCCCTTAAAATACCGTGCTATCATCATTCCCAGTGAGCCGGTGGTCATCCATGCTATCAGCATCAGAGTCCCTGAAACACAGTTCAATCATTCCATGCTTCAGTGCTCTGGGTGGGGTTGTGTCTCCTGACCCCATGCCAGTGTTGTTATTGTGTACATATTACATGCATATTTATATGAGTTTGTGTAACTGATGGCAGTGAGGATTTCTAAATGTAATGCTTTTTAGAGCAGACAAGCCATTAGCTTTAACTAGTCTTTAACATGAGCAGCTCAACTTGGCTCAGCTCAACTCAACACGTTTGGGGTGGTTTTCCAATTAAATTGAACCAAACATTTTAAAAATGCCAGAAAAATTAATTGTCCTACAGTTTATAAACTAAATGTTTGTAAAATTATCTCTCCAGCCTTCTACGGTACCTATGTGTTGTCATGCCCTCCTTCTCACAACACGCTTCCAGAGGCCTAGTCAGTCATTCCCGCCTCCAAGAATCCATTATAGTTGAGAGTTGAGGTATTCTAGGAGATGTGTTACGATCATGATGTAAGAGTTGAGAGTTGGGAATGCCCAGCATTCCCAACTCTCAACTCCTGCCCATGTCACACCCCAAAATTACAAAGGGAGGTCAGCGCCCTGCCACCGGCACTAAGTCATTATTCTTCCACGAACCTTGTCTGGAATTAGATCGTTTTTCTGACCAGACCAATCGAACTGTTCAGCCTATCGACTTCCAGTAAGTCTTCATTTTACTTATTTCTGTAACCGCCATATGCTCTCGCTCTCTGCGAGCTGTGTACTCTGGCTCCTAGATCAAATTGCGTGCCAGTCCCTCACCCAGCATCAGTCACTCTGCTTTTGGGTTTTCACGACACGCAACAGCCACACTCTCGCTCTGGCCAACTCAGCTCACGTCCGCCCTGACAGGATGACTGAGACATGCTACAACCCAGCGGAGTTCAACCACCTACAGTCCAAGATTAACCTTTTACACGCCTTGGTAGACTGTGTGGCAGCTGAAGTTGATTCTGTAGTCACCATGGTTCTCCAAATGGCCACATCACAGCAACAACAGGCCGCTAATGAGAGGGAGCTGCCGCTGCTCAGCCTCCCAGAGAAATGGGATGGATTCCAGGGCTCGCCGAATGAATTATTAGCAACCTTGGCTATGACCTTTCATTGCCATGCTACTGCCCACTCCTGGTTGCCCTGCTAACCGACCGGGCCCAGGAGTGGGCCGCTGCTATGTACAACATGAGGGCGGAAGCCTGCAATGACTACGACGCCTTTATGGGGGAACTTAAGGAGATGTTCAAACATCCTATCGGGGAGCTCTCGACTGAGGCCTAACTCCTTTGACTACGCCAGGGGAGCCAGCCTGGCGCTCAATTCACCTCCTGGTTCAGCACAACAGCTGCTACGCTGGCCTGGGGCGACAATGCTCTTAGGGTTGTCTATCTTGAGGGGCTCTCACCCCGAATCCAAGATGGGATGATTGGTCGGGAGACCCCTGACACCTTGGATGAGGTGATTGAACTAGCTCTCCAGATGGATCCTCCCGGGAAAGCATCTGTCAACCCTCGCACACAGACCACCACTGCGTCTGACAAGCCCATGAAGCTTGGGGGCCTCACCTCCGAATAGAGAGAGTTGTGCCACCTACTGTGGAGGCCCAGGTCACTGCCACATCACCTGTCCCTGCTGACTGGGAAACACCAACTCCGGGTAGGTGGTGGAGGGACCCTACTCAGAGTAACTAGCCTCTCCTCGACCTCCAGTAACCCCTGCTCCAGGTTGATCCAGGTTGCTCTCCAATTAGCCAGGGACCTGTCGAGTTGAAGGCCCTCCTGGACTCTGGGGTGGCCAAGTGCCTCATGAACCAACAACTGGCTGCCCAGCTCCGCATCCCTCTCTTGCCACTCCGCCAAGTCATTCCGTCACTTCTGTGGACAGGAGTCCATTCAGACAATACCTTATCCATCAGAAAACAATTGAACTCCACATGGAGACTCAACTACACAAAGGGACCCTCAGTTTTCTAGTTATCATCGCCCCCTTGTCTTCGCTTATCCTAGGCCACTCTTACATCACAATCTAAACATATCTCCTGGAATACCGGTAAAGTGCTTGCCTGGGGCATAGCCTGTCAGCCTACCAAATCCCTCAGTCCCCCCGGCAATGAACCATCTGTCCCTGAGGTGTTGAACTCTCACAATATGCTCTCCTTTTTCAACATCAAGACCTGGCACTAGTCTTTTCTAAATGTCCTACCACCACCACCACCTTACCTCCACACCACCCTTATGACCTTTGGATCAAACTCCTACCCGGAACCATTCCTCCCAGGGGTCGTCTCTTCTCTGTACCCAGCTGAGAAAAAGGCCATGGATACCTACATCTGTGAGGCCCTCCAACAGGGGTTCATTTGCCCATCCACCTCTCCTGGAGCAGCAAGGTTCTTCTTTGTTAATAGAAGGAAGGGGATCTCAGACCCTGCATTGACTACAGGGCTCTGAATAAGATTACAATCTAGGACGAGCACCCATTACCCCTGATGACCACGGCTCTAGATGTGGTCTCCCAGTCAATCTTCTTCCTGAAGCTGGATCTCCGCAGTGCTTAAAACTTTGTCAGGATCAAGAAGGGAGATGAATGGAAGGCCGCCCTCATCACCCCAAGGGAACATTGGGAATACCTGGTGATGCCCTTTGGGTTATGTAACAGCCCGGCAGCTTTCCAACCCCTGATCACCAATGTACTGCGAGACATGCTGAGCAAATGGGTCTTTGTTTACCTCAATGACATCCTCATCTACTCTCAGAACAAGGAGGAACACATTGTCCACGTGTGAGCCATACTCTCCTGACTCTTGGAGAATCCGCTTTACTGCAAGTTTGAGAAATGCGCTTTTCATCAGGAGACCACCTCATTCCTGGGGTTCATCATCTCCTCCTGCAGTTTCTCCATGGACCCAGAGAAGGTACAAGCTGTAGCCCAATGGCCCCTATCCACATCCCTCAAACAGCTACAGAGTTTCCTGGGGTTCTCCAGCTTTTACCTCCACTTCATTTGGAACTTCAGTGCCCTCGCAGCCCCTCTTACCACTCTAACCAAGTCTATCAGCCCACCCCGGGCCCCGCTGACATGCCTCCTAACCAGCTCTACATGTCTGTAGCCTGCAGACAGGAGGCCCTGGCCTGGGGACATGCTTCTCGCCTCTCTGGCCTCCAAGGAAACTCCCATACCCTGCAATTCCTGCAACGGGCACTCTGGTGACCCTCCATGAGGAAGGATGTTCAGGACTGCACAGCCACATGTCCTACCTCTGCTCATGCCAAATCTTCAAATCAATCTCCAGCTGGGAGCCTACAGTTGCTTTCTGTTCCTCACTGACTCTGGTCCCACATAGGCCCAGACTTTGTCACCAGACTACCCCCAGTCAATCAGCTTGACACGGTGCTCACCATAATTGAAAGATTCTCCAACTTCGTCCACTTTTTAGCACTGTCTGGGATTCACATGGCCAAGCAAACTGCTAAGCTTCTCTTGGAGCATGTGGCACGACTACACTGGTTCCCTCAAGACATTGTTTTGGATCGGGGACCCTGATTTATGTCAAAATTCTGGAAGGCTTTCTGTCACCTGGTGGAGGCCTGCAGAAACCTTTTTTCTGGATATCACCCCCAGACCAACAACCAGATAGAGCGGGCCAACCAGCAGCTGGGACGCTACCTCTGATGCTTCGCCTCTTCCCAGCCCTCCACCTGGCCTAAGCACCTTCTTTGGGCAGAACTCTCCCACAACCTCCATGTATCCTCGGCCATGGGACTCTCTCCTTTCAAAGTCTGCCTCCTGTTTCCTGGGTCCCTATCCAGTGGTGCGAGTGGTCAAACTAGTAACCTACCATCTCCTCCTGCCCTCCTCCCTCAGGGTCCACCCAGTATTCCATGCGTCCCTGCTGAAGCCTGTTCTATTCTCCCCCTATGCATCTCCACCCGACCCAGAGCCACCGCCCCAGGAGGTGGGCAACGACAGGATCTACAATGATTCTCGAAGCTCGCCGTCGGGGTTGGGGATGGAAACACCTTGTGGACTGGGAGGGTTATGGCCCTGAGGAACAATTCTGGGAGCCCACACGGTCTGTTCTGGACTTGTCACTAATCTCTGACTTTTGGTCCCATCACCCTGGGACTTCTGGGGCCGTCCCTAAGAGGCGGGGTCCTGTCACGCCCTACTCCTCACAACATGCTCCCAGAGGCCTAGTCAGTCATTTCCACCACTACCATTACCCAGCATTCCCAGCACCCAACTTCTGCCCACGTCACACGTCAAAACTACAAAGGGAGCTCAGCGCCCTGCCACCAGCACCCAGTCATTGTTCTTCCATGAACCTTGTACGGCGTTATCCGACCAGATCTTTTTTCTGACCAGACCAACCATACCGTTCAGCCTGTCGACTTCCAGTAAGTCTTCATTTTACTTATTTCTGGAACCGCCATAAGCTCTCGCTTTCTGTGAGCTGTGTACTCCGGCTCCTAGAGCAAACTGAGTGCCAGTTCCTCACCCAGCATCAATCACTTCGCGAATGGGTTTTCGCAACATGCAACAGCCACACTCTTGCTCTAACCAGCTCAGCTCACATCCGCCCTGACACATGTCCTTCTGGGTCTTTGTGACTATCGAGTCCTCATGATCTAATGATTCTTTCGGTGCAAATCCTAGGTTGCATTGTAGTTTTTTCTGGTGGTCTAAGAAATCCCAAATTGAAATCTGACTCCAGCTCTATACTGCCACATCAGGAAGTCATATTGTATGCTACTGTGTGTATGAACATGCTTTGATTGCTCATTTAGACACTCCATGAAGAATCAGATCTGGATCACATGTGTACCAAAACTTCTGTCTGGGGACCCATTCTGAAATGTAAACCTAAGACATGTCTCTGGTAGGATCTTACCATGTGCTTGCATGATCTCAGGCAAACCAGCACTTCCAAGAATCTGAGGCGTAGTTACATCCATCTTTGTAGCGCTGCTGAAAGAGTCTTTATGCATCTGGATTTGTCCTGTTTGTCAAAGAGTACCGATGTCAATCACAGAGCATTTGTTGGCAACCTTTCAAGTGTATGGCGTCAGATGGGTGCCAAAACCCCAAATCGCGCGTGCAAACGGGACTCGCATGTGGAAGTTAGAACCTCTTGAGTGAAAATATACATGGCGAGAGGTCATTTGTACACTGAGAGGGAGCAAACTGTGTCTGTGAGCGCACAAGTGACAAACTTGTGTGCGCGCGTTGGCCAATGAGCACACGGCAGAGGAAAACATGCGCGCGGCAGCCTTTCTGCGTGCTCGGTTTCTGATTCTGCTCACTCGGCTGTTGGGAGTTTTGGCACTCTGGAGGCGTGTTCTGTGGCTGATCTTCTCTGTCCTCTAAGTGGTACGTTTTTTCCGCTCCTTACCCTCCACCTCATTGGCCCATTGACTTTCTCTCAGAGCACAATGGCGATAGCAGAACAACAAATTTGATTCAGTCTTCAGTAAGGACAGTCATAGTTCAGCTGGTAGAGCTGATGACTTTTAATTGGAGGATCTGGGTTTGAATCCAGGCAAGGACAACAGTTAACATATAAGGTTTTTTTTTAATTCCAGCGATATCTTTTACAGTTATGACCCCTCAACTGTCATTAAATGTCCGAATGTTTGCTGGAAGTGCAGTTGAACTTGAGGAAAGCATATGACTCTGGAAGAGAGGGGATGGAGGGGGGAAGATGGCCATTGACACCTCAGCCCAGTGCAGTCAAGAATTACTGGTGTTTGGGAAGTCCTGAACATGTTGTGATGCCCCCACCGTCTCATTGGGTTTTCATTTGTGTTTAATTGTGTATTTTCTTCTGTTGCAGGCAGCTCGTTAAGCAGCCTTGGAGGCACCTGGGCTCAGGGTGTGGTGCTGCCTATAAAGCCTACTGTTTTTCTGCTTTCACTGGGTCTCTCCTCTGTGGTGGAGAGTGGCTGACGTAATATCACAACTTTGACAGAATACAAATTCCCCCCCACTCTAAGGGCCTTCCCAGTGTATTAGTGACTCATATTGTAATGCTCATGCTCTAGTCACTGTAAGTACAACCACAGGCATAAAGTTTACAATCGGTAGTTTTATTTCAGTGTGTATTGTTCAGTATCAAAATTTTTTTTATATGGTTAAAGCCATCTAGCTTATGTACACTTTTTAAAACACTGCCCAACAAACATTCAGACATTTAATGACAGTTGAACGGTCATAACTGTAAAAGATATCACTGGAATAAAATTAAAAAAACCTTATATGTTAATTGTTGTCCTTGCCTGGATTCAAACCCAGACCCTCCAATTGAAAGTCATCAGCTCTACCAGCTGAGCTATGACAGTTCTTTCTGAAGACTGAATCAAATTTGTTGTTCCGCTACCGCCATTGTGCTCTGAGAGGAAGTCAATGGGCCATTGAGGTGGAGGGTAAGGAGGGAAAAAAACTTACCAATTAGAGGACAGAAAAGATCCACAGGCCACGCCTCCAGAGTGCCAAAACTCCCAACAACCGAGTGAGCAGAATCAGAAACCGAGCGCGCAGTGAGGCTGCTGCACGCATGTTTTCCTCTGCCGTGTGCTCGTTGGCCAAAGCGCACACACAAGTTTGTCACTTGTGCACATCCTTGTGCGCTCACAGACACAGTTTGCTCCCTCTCAGTGTACAAATGACCTCTCTTCATGTATATTTTCACTCGAGAGGTTCTAACTTCCATGCGCGAGTCCCGTTCGCATGAGCGATGTGGACCCTTGCACGCGTATTCCGCGTACACGGGTTTTGGCACCCATCTGACGCCATACAGGTGGATATTAAAATCTTTAAAAAGAAAAAATTAATAGCTCTGTTGGCCAGCAAGATGTGCACATTCACGAAAGAGAGGCATTGCTTTCAGCAGTAAATGTGGGAATTGAGAACAGCCAAACGTCTGATGTCAGCCTCCAGAGGGTTCTCCTGGATAAAACAATCTTTGGATTTCTGCTTGAAAAATTTTTTGGCAGCCTCCATAATAAAGGAGTTCTTATTACATTCAAAAGTATAATTCCTTACCATTGGTGCTGGGTCCATCAACAAATAGGATGTAGTAAGTAGAGCTTAGGCCAGAAGCCCTTTGGGTAGAGATGGCATTTGTGGAGGTAAAGGAGCAGCCAATCACCCCATTCTGTATTGATGCTGTTACCCCAGTTACATTGCCCTGTTGGACACAACATTGATCAAGTGTTTTACCCACACATTACATAATGGATGTTTCAGTGTGGTGGGAAACGTGCATGCTGAATGGTAGAAAATGGAGTTTACCAGAGGAAGACTTGTTGGCATTGTATGTCCTGTTGAATATGCATGTTGAACTGTTGCCATTCCACTGTTGTCCAAGGTACAGATGTAAATATCATCATTCCCCTGAGGAAAGACACATTTCAAACTAAATGGTGGTTTAATTTTATTAAGATCCATCCATCTATTGTCTTATATTATATTATCTAGTGTAGCGTCATGAAGGAACTGTTTTCCACCTAAAGGTCATTTTGGCCTCTCTCCTCATGAAGAACTAATCTCCTTGAGATATTTGCTCAAGGCCTTTGATGCCTCTGCATCTAAACTGTTTTAACTAGCTATTTGCCTCTCCCTACAGCTCAAGAGAAGATCAGAAGAACTCTATTAAATAATAATCAAATAACTTTGTTAGTCCAAATAATCATGTGAAGCTCAATGTTAAATCAATCTGTGAAATGACAATATTAATTACTTGATATTATAATACTGTAATCAGTAGTTTTGTATAAGAATTAACTTGGTACAGAAGCACTAGGCACTCCTATCGCAAGTAATGTTAAAATCACATGACACATTCCTTTCGTCTCTCCAATCACAGCTTTCCTTTCTGACGCGTGGTGTGGTCTGTGCGGTGTTTATTTTGTTGTCAAATTCTGATTCGACCATAAATTAAAACATCTGAATCATAAAACTAATTCCCACGTCACCCTTAACTCAGTTCAAACGTTCTAGAGTTTCGAGCCGGCCACTCGTAACTTTTTAACCACAAAGAACCTTGACAAGCTGGAAAATAAAACCTGTTGCAAGCCACACCTGACGCAACGCTCCTTCGGAGTAAAAATTGATCTCACTGACCCTTCAGGGTCCCGCTGATGCTGCCAAACATCTGCTGCTTACCTGGAGGCAATCCCAAGACTAGTCTGTCATACCGTACGCTGTTTCACCGGCTCCGGTACCAAAGGGGGGTCCGAGGACCTGGCATTCTGAATCTACAATGGAGGTCTCCGCAAGGGTATGTAGAACGGCAAGATAGCGTCTGAATGTGGTTTTGAAACTCCGACTGTAGTTTAGAGCAAAAAAATTCGCTCCCACGCAGAACTAACGCTTCTCCGAAAACGAGAGTTCTGATAACAACATTCTTCCAGGGACCCACAACCCGACCGGAAAGGGAGGAGACTTAGGCTCCCTGTGGGCAAGAAAGACGGGAAAGAGCTGGAGACTGCAGATTTACTTGTCTAGCGTGTCTACTTTACATCAGAGTACATTGTTTGTGTAATTTATTAGAATTGTGTTGAACAGTCTAAACCTGTAAATTGCACCAGTACAGGACAGACTTAGCTGCTGTTTTCGTTCAGGAGTGCGCACGTACAGCATGCGCGCCCCATGCACAAGCTTACTATTGAAGCTGCAGTTACGAATTTAGCCTGAGGGGACAATCACAAGCATGAAATGTCAAACTCCTTAAAGTCCCTTAGTGACGAATACTAATGAATAAAACACAATTCTGCTGTTTTCCTTTGACCCCCCCCCCCCCCCCCCCAAAAAAAAAAAAAAAACTGGAGTCGGATGGCACTTTTCCCCACAGAAAACAACTCCCAATGCATTCAATCATCCTGCTGACCACAACTAATTTTTTGACAGAAATGGTGAATTTGACATTAAACCTTTCCACCACAATAAACTGATGATTCTGCTTTCTAGTTTTTACTTTGACATTTTGTATTTAGTTCACATTACCATCATTTGGTCATCGGAGAATCCAAAAGCAACATATCCACTAGTAGGGCCTGTGAGTTCATAGCGGATGCCAGAACTAGGAGTCAGTGGCATGGCTGACATGAAGAAACACTGAGAATTGCTTGAAGGATCACATCCTGAAGGCTGACTGAAGCAACTCTTGGTCACTCCGCAGTTTGCACTGGAGATAGTGTTCTACAAAATAAACAAAAGAAATAAACAGGTTATGTGTCCACAACAACATACTATAATCTGGTTCTCAGCCAGCAACTCTGCATGGAAAACACAGACTAAGAAAAATAAACTGCCTTTTCCTGCAATCTCTCTTCAAGGAAACAAAGACTTTAAAAAAAAAGTCTATGTAGATACTACTCATGTCCACATGTTTAATGGCCTGTATTTGTATAGGACCTTCTCAGAGTTCTAAGGAGGTCGGACAGGAAATCAGACTAAAAAGAGGTCCTCAAATGAAAGGGGGCTCGGGGAAAACTAGAAGTGCTTAGAGCAACTTGTTGAACTGTGAGCAGCAGAAGACTGCGATGGTCCCTCATGGGCTGTCGGTGTTTCCACTGGGTTTGATAGAGGAGGTATGAGGAGTTAAAAACAGCATTCACCTCCTGATGGAGAATAAGTTCTGATATAATGGAACCCAATGAGAGTGTGGACTCTTTGGACACCCTCAGTCCTACAGAAGTTAAGTACAGCTGGTGGAAGATCTCTGGTATACCAAAGTTTAAACTAAGAACTTGATGTGAATGCTTCATGTACAGAGGTGGGTGGAGTAGCCAAAGATTGTACTCTAGTAAGAGTAGAGATACTTTATAATTATATTATTCAAAAGTTAAAGATACAGTGTATTGAAGCTACTCTTAAAGAGACCATTTTTAAAGTTCCTCAAGTAAATGTAACTGGGTAAATGTAACCAGTTACTACCCACGTGTGGTCAGGTAAACATAGATGTATAGTTAAAGTTACTAAAGTTCATTACTATGGCAAAACAAGAAAAATCTTTTTCTCTAGCTGTTAAAGTTAAAATTGTGTCTGATTACTCACAGTAGTTGATGTGGCACCGGTAGAAGATCCAGAAGTGCCCGAACGGCTGAGGACCGGACTTTTCACATCAACCCAAAAGGTATTGTAACTCTGTACAAAGGAGGCGCTGCCAGGAGATAAACCATGACACTGTTAGAGTTTACCCATTAGGTCATTGTGAGAATAAAATGTAATTTAAGTCAAGCTCACTGGAACTGGATGGAGTTTGTGTTCTGTGATGGGTCTGATTGCCACGTGGCCTGGATGATAGTCTTCGAGGAGGCGGATGTGTGTGATAAAGCTGAATTCTTCACACACAGACACACATAAATTGGTTATTACTGATTTGTGCAACTCGTCAGAGGCTACCTTAATCCACATGGTGTGGTTAAAACTGTTTGGGGAAGGTATTTGTGAGTATAGTTGTGATAGGAATTATGATCGGCCCACTTTTATTTCTTTTGGGGGTTAGGGTTGAGGGTGTGACCTTGTTGCCTATTACTTTTATAATGGTCAACTTTCCTCACATATCTGAAAAGAAACTAAAAGGTTTTGAGGTCTTTTTGATTTTGTTTTTTTTTTTGTTATTTTTATCAAGCATGTACACAGGTGCAAGGTGTACGTGTATGCTGACTGCCATCTTCATTCTGGTTGATATATGAAATTATTCTCCTCTGAATGACAGTGAATATTGGTGTTGTTTTTGTGGGCGGGTCTTAATTTTGTGATTTTCTGTTTATTGTGTTATTTTCTCTTGATAATTATTAAATGTATTAAAACTAAAAGTACAGGGACTGTATACCAACCCACTTAAAAAGCTGGATCTGCTTCAGTGATATCTGAAACATTCTGGGTGGTCATATGATGTCAGAATGATTGTGGCCGCTCACCCACAGAAAGACACCCCTCCTCATGACCACGGGGAACACTTAACCCAGTGGAGTATAGCTGAACCAGCTGAGTTGTGACGTGATACTTACAGATCTCTGGCTACACGTGAGGCCTTGAGTATTTGATGGTGTCGCAACAAAAGAACCCACTGGAGTTGAGCTTCCAGCTTCTCTGGCTTCCAACAGGAAACCAGTAAATGGGGTCCCTGAGGTCTTGAGATAAACTAAGAAATAAACAAACTCAGGTTAGAGGCAAAAATCACACAAGCAAAGGTAAAAACATAAAACAGAACAATCAGTGATGTCATGTTTGGTCTTACATGAATGACAGTCTTCAGGTCTGTGACACTTTCAATGATTATTTTAACTTAAGAAAAGCGAAAGCTCAAAAACAGAGTGTCCACTGAAGGTTCTGATTGTTGCCTTTCTATGTTTTTGGTTGGAGATATAACAAGTTAAAAGAACAACCATCACTTCCTGTTTGGAGGAGAAAATTCCGAGATCAGATTTAACTTAATGGAAACTTGGAGACTTTGGACTCTGAGGGTATCTGAGTGGACACCATCAGTCCTACAGAGGACACAGCAGATTGAAGATGACTCACATACCAATGTTTATATGGAGAACCTCATTTGTACTAAAAAGGTTGTGGGATGAAGGAGAGTTTGTTAGCAATAGATGTGAAATGTTTCTATGTCAGAGTGACATCATCATCTATTAAGTAAACCTTCCCCACTTTAAGCTGGGATAGTGTAAAACCCATCAAAGGTAATTCAACACCAGTTCAGTCATTTAAAGTGCTACTTCCTGTGCCCCATCTAAACTCTGAATCACGTTTCTACTGTAAAGTCTACCTGCGATGCAGGGTTCAACTGTGGGGCGGGGCCATCCCACCTGGTTCCCTTACTTTTATTTCCTTACTTTTATTTCCTTACTTTTCTCCATTAGGGTGGTGTCTATCTCCAGCAGTGCGGGGACACTGGACAGAGATCTGTAGTCCAAAGGGACACAGAGACAACCAAACCCGTGTCGCGTCTGTACAAACAAGCCCTGAAGTAATGAAGTGGCACCACTGGAAATGAAAAAATGTAGGCTACATACTAACTTTTTACACAAAGCAAGCACAAAGCAAACATAATTAAAATTTTTACAATGGTCTTTAAGTTTTATAAGCCACTCTCATAAAGATTATGTCACATAATCCTGAAAGCAGCATGGTGGTGGTCTTACACAAACACGAGGAATCTCAGCAGGAGTGTTCTGCTGAACCACAGCAGGTGAATCCACATGCAGTAAGTCTGGAGTCATAGCAGGAATGAACAAGTCAGGCATGAAGCAAGCCATTTTCCACTACCTTGTATACATTCGCAGAGCAAACCATTTTAGGATGCGTAAAGAATGTGTCGGTTCCTGAACACAAACACTCTCCCACTCGCAACAGGCATCTTTTATCTGTGTACATCTTCATCCTGTACTGTTTAGAAGCAACTGAATTAGACACATCTGCAGCAGCAGGCTTTTAAGTAACAGGAGGCAGAATATTCAAGCCAGTGAGCATTTTTCTCATGAAAAACTACTCAGAGAGAGACATAGGGCACATGCTCTGCTCTGTGAATGTTTGATCCCTCCCGGCTGGAGAATCTGATGGCCAACAGCCCTGTCTACAGAAGTTCAACACTGTTGTTTTCGTTAACGTGACAATGTGTAGTTTTTACCATTAATCTCTGGAAATATCAATGGAAATAATGTTGTAAATGATTTAAAATGCACCCTGTTTTTGAAAAATATTGGCAGTTTCATAACACCATAGAAATCCAGTCTAAAATACATGGTAGCAGGTCTAAGTTTCTGGGTGACACCATATTGGATGCCATGTTTCTTTCTACGGAAGCCAGTGAGGACAGAATACATTTACTGATTTTTAACAAATGGTCACAAAACTTTCACCAATAATAAACGTTCTTTTACTCATCGCAAGCGATGAAAGGGAATCTGATGTTCTTGTTATTTGGCTGAAGGTTCCACTCCCAAGGATTTTTCACCCTAATGGCCATCTGTTGGTAAGGTCTTCCTTGAACACAAACAGGCCTTTTCCATCGCCCAAACTGACATGGAATGGGAAGGATCGGGTTGCAATTTTTTCTGTTCCGATTGCACAACCAATCCAGTCAACCGACCCGGACCGCACCAGTCACACGATTTTTTGGGCTCTGTTCTGCTGAAGGTCTAGAAATTCCTGGAGTGGTTCTGTTAGGGTGGAGCAACAACACAGCCCACTGATTGGGTGACAGAAATATGTCACTACTTGCATCAAGGAAAACAAATGGAATTCCGTTGTTTGTATTTTCATTAGCTGTACATAAATGTGAAAAAATTACAGCAAGTAGCAGCAAGCGTTGGTCATCTTCAGAGTTCCATACATTTCTCACTGTCATCGTGAGAGTCTGCAGGAGGAGCTAGACGAATCGGATGGCAGCTGAAGGATCAGAGCAGACGTCGGCTCAGTGTCGGGCCAAGATGAAGAAATTAAAGCCAGATATAGTTAATAGTTAAGGACAGAAACAGCTGGAGTGGATTTGTTTTTCGGATGGGAGAAATACGCGGAGTTACTACTAGCTGGATGCTATTTGTAGCTGAGGCAGCAAGGCAGGCTTCTGTACTTAGCGACTGCACTCTGGAATCGCATGTGGAGGCTGTGGTAAGCATTTTGTTTTTGTCTTTAGCTCTGTAAACCAGATGTTGCAGCACAGAAATGCTGAATAGTTTCACAGCTGTTAAAATAACGTATGATGGTTTGTTTAATCCCGCCTGCTGATGTGATCGCCCAAACTGCGGTCGAAACACTCGTCTGAAAATTCCATACCCGTACCGGAGCATACCAGTCCAAAAATAGCCAGACTAGGCTGTTCCAGGCCTGGCAATGGAAAAGAGCTAAAAATACTGCTTGCTTGCAATGATTTGAGTGTCTATTGCCCGCTATTGCCAGGGAAACTACATACTGTCACTTTAACGATGACAATTAGATTTTGTATGATGTCCATTTTTCTCATAATGAAAACAAGATGCTGACCAGCTAAAATCGCTCTTTGGTGACTACAACATGGCAAGATGTGCGGGTGCTTTCGTTGACGAGTTGTGAGACTAGACAGAAAGTAGATGCAAATTTCTACCTGTATCACAAAAACTAAAAGTAACATCTTTGCTGTCTGTGTACCAACAGCTGCAGCTTCAGCAGCTGAGTGAAGTTCTGGACAGAAATAGGCTCCTGCAGGTTTGCAGAAGGAGACAATAGACATCAATGTACAGAACATTTTGTTAATACTGATAAAAAAAGTTTCATCTTTATTTCAGTGTTTACTCTAGAACATTAACTCAGTGTGAGGGTTAGGTAGGACATGAAGACCAGGTGTGTCCTAAACTTTAGAAGGGTTTGAAGCAAGAACAGACAAAAATGGAGACAAGCTGAGCCTTAGCCAGTGTGACCAGAACCACCAAAGCGTCAGCTAGCCTCATATACACTTTTCTGTTTATAAAGCTCACTGTCAAACTGCCATTGCAGTAAAGAGGAAAGCCTAAATAGTACCAGTCAGAAGAAGAAACAGATGATGTGAAGTGTTAGTCATTTCAAAGCCCAAATCGGTTCACTTTAACATCTATAATCACGGAGACCAAATCTGACTGGGACTGTTTAGGAAGCAAAGGAAGTCCCTGAATATGAAGAAGTGGAGTTTAAA